AAATATATCCTTCGTTAGATTTCTTTCACTTCAATACTTATACACATAAACGATAATAGCCAATATGTTTGTGTACTCGCTAATTTGAATACTGGTAAACAATCAACTAGTTGCAGTTTACGAAAAACGGTTCCGATAAAAATTTTAAAAACGGGAGGACCCACCTCTAGTTTTTTAGGTATATTATAATCGGAACCGAGAATATGTAAAATATCTCTGATCAGAATTATTCGTCTCACTAATGGGCAATGAGTGTTAAAAATATTTATGGAGGGGAGACCAAGGGGAAATATGATTGTTATCTTTGCCTATTCGCTGAAAATATGATTTTATATCTGCGTTAGAAATCCTGTTAAATTTTACCATACCGACCATAAACTTTTACCTACACTGTATATATCCTCAGTTGTCTTTGAGTGAATTTTTACTATCTTTTTTGTATGCTTTGAGTTGTGCATAATATGGTTTAATTTTAACTATATTTTTTGCTGTTGTTTTGTCCCTCTGATAATTTATTTGAGAAAAAATCTTTTATTGCTGTAGGCACTGCATCAATTAACACTTTTTGTTTAGATTTATAGGTATCCTGCAGTAACTTACTATTTGGTAACTGTTTATGCCTTCTATTAATAATTGAAATCTTGTTTAGAAACAAGGTTAAATAATGATATGTAATGTAATTCAACCATGGTGCACTTTTTTGTTGAAAACTGTTTTTATTGTTGTTGTACTAAGGTTATTTAAGTCAATTCTTATGATTTCTTCACATAAGGAATTGGGTTCACTCCACATTTGATTTCTCAGACTGTTTATTTGACTTCTAAATTGCTCTCTGTTTATATTTGTTACTTAAGTGGATTTGGTGATCACTTAAGTACTCCTTCACAATATATAGCTTATCACCATAATTTAAGTTGTTGGTCACTATATAATCAATACAAGTAGCTCAGTAGCATGTAGTTGAACTTTATCTAACCTAAATTAAATTTGTAAATTTACATTCATTAGCCATGTTTAATTTAAAAATTTTACCATATTTTTCACTGACCTAGTTTCTTTATTAGTTATATCTTCATTATGGATAAGTATATAGATTTGCTCCAAATCCTCAGCTTTTATCAAATAGACGCTACCATTTTGTGTCTAACAATATTTGAACATTTTTCCGTTCTTAATTTATAAGCCATTTATTTTTCAAGTAATTGGAATTAAATCTTAAAGCCATGGTTTGAGGCCCACTGATCATGGCTTAATTACTTATTGGTCATGATATATGGTTTTGACTTAAGTTAACAATATTAACAAGGAATATAGACACATACTTTATTACCTACTTAATATTAACCAGTAAATATGTCTTGCACTCATGACTTACCTTTAAATTGTTCCAAAGTTCAACTTTGTTGTCTGGATTTGTCTTAAGACGTTCAATAATTTCATCTGTGTTTACTGTATCTGAAATTAAATCTAATAGAGCCACAGCAAAATTAGAAAATGTTTGACTTTTGGTTCTTTCAATGCTCTCAAAATGATTCTGTTTGCGGTTTCTGTCAAAGAACTCCTTGGTTTCCCTTTCTTGCCATTCCCTAAGCTTATACTGGGCATATTTTGTTAATAAAATAGATCCTGAGATAATAGCACCCCCAATGTAAAACTTGTTCCTATGCCTTGAAATAAATCCTTGAACTTTGGAAAACACGGTCATGTTAAATGCTGATTTTACAACTATGAATTGAAAATTAATTGTAATAAAAAATCTAAAATCTAAGGATACAATTCATGTTTTACAAAATTAAAAATATAGTTATGTAGTAACACAAAAATTTAGTTTTCAAACACTATTATTTTCATATAGGATTTGATATCAAATGATATTTTTTTTTGGGTATTATCTGTCAAAGTCAAGTTAACAGAACCTCAAACCTCAACCACCGAACAACATTTGTCTGACAGCTGCCAACTATTAACGTCAAGCACCATTGGGCCAAGATCTGTGTTTAGTGTCCTTGGGCCAAGGACACTAAAGGTAGATTCCGATACATCAGTCACGTCTCGTCACAGTCCTGGCGCCGAACCGAACAATCCGTCATACAAAATATTCTTTAATAGAAATATGGCGCCGGCATTCACATTCATCAGGCGACGAACAGTTTCCCAGCTGTCAGATAGTTGATAGTTCTGTGACCAAACAGGACCGGTTCGGCGCCGAGACTATGACGGGACTGATGTGTCTGAATCTACCAGAGATCAGCATATCAATGGAATCTACATGGAATCTACCTTAAACATAGAAGTCAACCGTCATGTCATATAGTCAATCGTTCGCGAGATTACGGATCCTAGTGCAACTGTGAATATACTTATTTTGATGAGTTGTAATTGGTTGAGAAAGTAGCGGGATATTTAAAAATTATTATAAGTTCTTGTAAACGCATTAACGACTACTTACAGAGATGTTTTTTGTTCTTTTTGAGTAGTTTAGACACTAATGTAATATGTTATCATTTTATAAACATTAATAATAATTTTTGTAAGTGGACATTGAAAAATAGAAATAAAAAATTTACTTTTAAATAACATTACGTTAATAATAAATGCATACCATTTAATGAAAAACAAAATTTTGAGCTATCCTACAAAATATTGTATAATATGTTCAAAAAAAAATAGATTATCTCCATCTATTACACTTTTTATTGTATTATTAATAGGAAAACTGTATACCTAAATCTGGAAAAAAACAAATCGCGTTGAAATCTTTTAAACAAATCTGTCGAGGTTATAATCAATTCTTATATTTAATTAATAGTTACTTTAATGTATTGCCACAGCACTTATGTAACCAGTTCTTATTTAACATATATTTTTAAAAATCTCAGCGAAATAGCTCTTATGAGTTCCTATTAAAATATAACATCTCAGATAGTAGAATCTTTTGAGTAAGTACACTATTGTACTATTATTTTTAGTATATATAGTAAATAAGTGTATTAATATTGTTCGGAGAAGCTATTTGTTTGTGGCATTTATATAATTTATTATTTTAATGGGAAATAATGCCACAATTTAACTACAAAAATAAATTTATTGACGTATTATTAATTAATATTGTCATTTTGAAAACGACGTCCGATGTGGACGTTGAAACGCCAATAAATTCATTTTTTCGTTAACTTGTGGCTTTATTTCCCATTAAAATAATAAAATAAATGTATTCCTCTTATTCTCTGGAAAATAAGGGTTGATATTTTTATTTTAAATATAAACAATAAAACATATCAATTAATATCTATTTGTTTATTTATCAACATATAATATATAAACAATTTAATGATTTTTACCTAAACTTATATTGTGATCTACATATAATGTTAACGAATGTGAGACAGCTTTCTTCTGAGGGACTGGAATGTCACTAGCAGTGAAACGCCTTTTTCTGTTGTATGTATGGTCATTTTGGTTTTTGGGTCATCATGTTCAATAACTCTTGTAAGGACATGCGGAAATAATCTTAATAACTAAAATAAAATAGATCAGTTTAATAAGATCAAAATTAGTTTTAATAAAACACATTCATACCTCAGCCTTGTATGCTTCTGGTACATTAATTTCAAACTTAATAAGATCTACCGTTTTGCAATTGCTAAATTTTAAAACACAAGTTATTTAGCAGATCTAAAAAGAGATTATGGGATTTTTTATTTTGAATAATTGAATAATAAGAAATCAAAAACAAATATTTATATTTATTAACTGTCACTGTCAACCGCAACCCTTAACGCGCCGACGCAAACTTTTAGATTTTAGCCAATCACTAACCATCAAAATAAGTCCATTCACAGTTGCACTAGGATCCGTAATCTCGCCAACCGTTCTGTAAGCTTTAGGTGGCTGTGGTTCTTGCCAATGGACCGCAGGAGTGTGACGTCACGACTGTCACATTGTCATTATTATTTTCCAAACAAAAGTTGAAATGTCAAATCTCAAGACTTTTTAATATCTATAAAGTTAACATTTTGCTTCCTCTGCTGCTTTTTTTTGTAAGCATAGTATTTTTTACGATAATTCTGAGTTCTATTTCTATGAAATATAGTTTAAAAGTTTAAATTAAAGAAATAGAACTAAGGTTCTACCACAGAATAATAAACAGAAGGGCCACTCTCAGATGCCGCCTTTGAAGTTTTTCAGCACGCGCGCCATATTTTAGGAGGACACAGACATATGATTTGTGTGGTTATGTAATTGTTTATATTTATGTTTAATTATATTATACTTATGTTATTATATTTAACAATGTTAATATAATTGTATTGTATGTCTTTGATTGCCGTAAGTCAAATAAACCTGGTTAATTTTTCCATGCACACCACATAAACAACACTAATTTCTTTAAAATCCTCCTAAAACATGGCGGAACGTCTGCGCGGAGGAGATGCGCGTACTTAATTTTCCGTGGAGAGTGGGTATTCTGTTTGTTTATTATTCTGTGGGTTCTACTAACCTTACTTTATTGATACATGCATTTGCTTTATTATTTACACAACCTTGTAAAATTGTTGTGGTAACTATTAGAATACTTAAATATTGCAAAAAGCGGAAAGATTCTATAAAATAAATGAAAAAATAACTAAAAATACAAATTATCCACCTAAACAAGGTTTGTTCGGAAAGTGAAACTGACAGATGTCAATAAAATCTACGTCATCACTCCTGTGGTCAATTCTACCATTTGATAACTCTAAAATTACATATCCGTTAAAACTTTATACCGTAAAAAATAGCGTTTACGTGTCAAAATAACGGAAGGATAAAATTTTACGTGATAACTCTCTATTGTGGCCATCTCGCGATAAACGACGATACCTCTTTGAGAGGGATATTCGACACCGAAACATTACCGTTGTTCCGGAGATTCCGATAAAAATTAGGATAAATTTCGGATAACAGAGGGAGTTTCTCTATACCATGCACCATGATTGATGATTGTTTGAGGTTATAAAATGTCTGCATCTTCATGTGTTGAGATTATTGAGGCCGAAATAAGCCCGGCGAAGAAGAAATCGAAATTAAATACAGATGAAAACTTGATACAACAAGAAAGTATACACAATGACCTTACAGATCTGTCAACTTTTAATATAAGTGAAATTTTATCTAACAATACAAATCGGAAAACTGTTTGCCTAAGAGGCAGTTTTGATTCTAAAGACGGTGAAGCTGTTGTAATATTAGAAAAATCTGCATTTGTAGAGGAGGATTTAAAAACAAAAGAATATTTCAATAAAAGTAGTTTATTGGAGAAGACCTTCCAGAATGATATCTATGGAGATTACCACTACTTTCCCAATAGAGACTTAAGTGGTAAGTCAGCACTTGTGCACTTTTCTTTAACACTTTATTTTATGTAATAGGTATACTCAAATCAAACTAATAAGTTAAAGAATAAAATTTTAAGTCCACCTTGAAGTCAACACCTTCATATGGAGGCATTTAAATTACTTATATTATGATTCCTTCAACAGGAACAACAAACTATGTAACTAATACAGTTTAAAGTTTTTACAGATAAATGTAAAGCAATATTTTATGTTTATTTTACACTGCAGTATCTATAAAAGTGGTCTCATTTTTATTTGTAGTAATTAAAACTACTGTAATTCATCCAGCAACTGAGAAGCACATAGTCAAATTCTCAACACAGAAGCTCTATATTGTTGATGAGACACCTAAATTATATGAGGAAGTCATTTTGCCACAATTGTCTGATGAACAACTTCATTTACAGGTACTTTAGTATTTATGAAAATATATTTATTTATCTACTGTATCTAAATTTTTTATATAACATATTTTTGTATCAATTAATCTGAACAGTGTTTAAGTTGACTACTAGTGGTAAGTATTTAATAAAAGAGTATAAAGTATTAAAAATGTGCAATTTCTAGTGGACTTATGCAAAAAAGTAAATAAAAGCTCAAATTTGAATGTTTTCTTTGTTGCAAACTAGTAAAATTGATAAAAAATGTAATACTTAATAAAATTTTCATTTGAAAATTCAAAAATGCTTTATTGTTTAATTCATAACAAATTAAGCAAAAAATAATACATAACAATGATTTTTACCATTAAATTGCATATAAACACATGTTTAACAAATAACCAAAATTTCTATATCATCCAAAACAATATGACATATGTTCACAAAGTTAAATTTTATGTATGTCACCTTGGTGCCACTTGGAAATCATTGAAAAATATGAAAATCACTTAAACAAGTTAATGAAAATATAAAGCTTCTTTTTAATAAATATTTGTGAAAAAAAGACAACCTAATCTAACCAAACCTCACCGAATACCTGACTTATTTAATAAGAACTAATAAGCAAATTTATTAATGTAGTGTATACCCATATTCTGGATATATGTATACATGATATATACTGCCCTACTAAGCGAAAAGGGGGTATCTGTAATTTACATTGTTTTGAGTTAAGAAGGTATTTAGATTTCGTTTATTCGCATTGTTGTTTTGTGTATAATATTTAAGTTTAAATTGAAAATATACATAGTTTTCTTTTGTTTTTTTTTATAAATATAATAAAATTAGGCCATTTAAATTTTTTACTAAAAAAATTGTAGTTACCCCCATTATTAAGAAACCATTATAGGTTAGATACTAAGATAAAAACACAGTATCTACATGTACACATTTATTTTTACATGATTTGGTTTAATTATCAAAGTAATTTCCATAAAATAACTTAAATACTAAATTAATTATTAATCATCATCATTATTTTGCTCAAGGTACTGAGTGGTAGGTATTTCTTTCCAAAAATTTAAACGATTTTTTGGCATGATGGCATTGTCGGCTTCTAAAAGTTTTAAAATAATATTATTTCGTCTTTCTTCTGTGATGCCTCTTGAGTTTTCTTTGGTTCCTGGAGCTGGTATTATTCCAGTCTTTGTAATTTTTTGCATTCAAAAAATTTAATGTTAAATCAGGGCCACTAAAATTGTTTTTATAAATTAGTGACATTGATCCCCGTGGGCTGTGATTTGAACAATATCCTGAATATATGGCCGCTCACTATGTGCTTTTTTAAGTTTATAAGCAGATGAAAAATCCTGCCAGTCATAGAAATCATGTAGTTCCATTTCCAAAACTATAACCCTCATAGAATTAGCTTGTAGAACAGCTTTTTTAAAATCTGGAAAGTCGTAAACTTTCTTAGTTTTTCGTAGAGATTTTTCTACTTGATGGTGGAATGCGTCGGCACTCATAAATGTGTGACCTGGTTCGAAGTAATTTATTTCTATTACTTCAGCAGAAATATCAGTTGAGTTTAATATATAAACTAAAAACGTAAAAAACGCCCAGTTTTTAGTTTGAGAGGTACAATTATCTACCCATAGAACAATTTTTTTCGCATCTCTCTGAAATATTAAGAATTTGTGATAGGTACTTATTATATCTTCTTTTTTTCGCCCTTGAATTGCCTCGTGCCAAATTGCAGCTACAGGTTTAATGTTTCTGTTTTTAGTCCCTACCGGAACGAAACTTTCGTTATAAGCAATCAATCTTTGAGTAAATATAACCGATTTAAACATGTCGCACCGGGGTAACATTAATTACTTTTTCCAAATCAACGGAATATATAATTTCTCCTTCTTCTGGTTTCTTATTGGCATATTCTTTGTACAGCAGACGTGCATCTTTACTCCTTTTTATATGATTGGACCACCTCTGACACTCGGAACAATCATTTTGTAAATTTTCTTCAGAGTGTGGATGGATTTTAAAATGCTCACACATTTCGCATTCTTCGTGACCCAACGTTACAAAAGATATATTTAACTTTTGTACTATTAAGCGGTATAAATCATAAAAACAAGTTATTTTAGGATTCTTCTCTTGAAAATTGCTAAACATATCTTTGATGTTTACATCACTTGATAAATAACGTCGCTTAGGTGCATGTTCCCTACGATAATGAGATATCGATGGGTTGAAAGATTCTATATGTTTTTCTATTACTGTATGATCCAATTTATTATGAGGTAGACTTCCACGGTTTTTATGTGGCTTTGGTGAGATTAATGAGTTCGAAGATTTACAAAACCTCTGTAGAATTTTATCATAATTTTTGTGAAACCCTATAGTTGTAAGAAAAAAGGTTCTACAGACTGACTTACATTCTCCATCCGCCGTTTTTAAAGAGTAGCTTAAAGTATTCGATCTTCGAGAATCTAATCCAACAGTTTTACGTTTTACGTTTGTCTGGCTAATGCTGGACAACATAAATTGATGCTTTTGTTGACGGTCTAGATTCCAGAACTGATTGTTTATATCAATTCTTCTTTCCTGATTTATTTTTGTGTTACATGTTTTCTTACAGTTATTACCACATCCATCCCTAACAGAATGTGAATCCTTTAGTTTATTCTGTTTAATTATTTTTCATTCTCTAATTGAATATTTAAATTTTTTACGTCTTCGTTGTTCCCCTTTTTTACTAAAGCGTGTGTCTATTTCTTTTTCATCTCTTTCTTCAATTTCTCTTCCACCATCTTCTAAACTGGCAGGCTGAAATTCATTTTTACAATTATAGCTGGCTAATTCAGGATTATTGTCCAATACGACCTCCATTGTCATATTTGTTGCCAAATCAGGTAGTTCCAACATATTTACTTCAGCTTCTATAAAAGTTTCTGAATCTGAAAGCAAATTTGTAATGTTTGTTGTATCAACAGAATTTGTTGGAATTTGAATATCACTATTCTCCAATAAAACAATTGGCGCATTTTAAATAATATTTTCCCATTCCACACCACTACTAATGTATGTTGAGCTGGCCATAGCTAAGTCACACAACCTTTTTCCTCTACTTTTACTCATCTGAAATAAAAAAAAAATGTTTTACACGACTTTCTATCCATAAACGCAAACATTAGATTTTAATAAAATGCATTAATAAATGACAAATTATTTCGTTGTTAAGTATCTTCAATTTGTAAAAACATTGCAAAGAATCAGTAATTAAATGAAATAAGTAATTTCGCAATGAAATTGGTAGTACTTTTTTGTCGTGTAAAACAAATCAGACTACATCATCTAAAATAAAAAAATGTTTTACACGACTTTCTATCCATAAACACAAAAGTTAGATTGTAATAAAATGCATTAATAAATGACAAATTATTTCGTTATTAAGTATCTTCAATTTGTAAAAACATTGCAAAGAATCAGTAACTAAATAAGTAAATTCGCAATGAAATTCATTTATTGTCGTGTAAAACAATTCAGTCTACACATTTTAATTTGAGGTTATTGTAGCAAAATTAACAACTTACCTCTAAATCTGTAGTAAATCATTCACTATTCAATATTTCAATGTTTACAATTGAATATTTAAATACACACTTTAATATTACTAGGTTGTATTACACCAAAAATAAACAAATAAACTAAAAGAAATGCTATTTTTGTGTATGATATGTCTAGACACGATGAATAAATGTGCTTACTATTATATAAAATTACTAAGCGATTCTGGCATTAAGTGACGTGTACTAAGCGGTTCCAGCCGTAACTGCACAAGTTCGTGTAGATACAACCATTATTGCCTAGTATCAGTAGTTACTGCCAAATTGCTTAGTATATAACGTATGTTTTGTAGATACCTCTAAATATATAGCCTAAAATATAATATTTGTAAAGTAGATACGACCAATTCGCTTTAGTATTAGATAGAATAAGGTGTAATTATTGACTAGACATTAATATCTCATTTTTAGAAAAAAGTGTAGATACCCCCTTTTCGCTTAGTAGGGCAGTATAATAATTGTGAAAAAAGAACAATCTAAAGAAAAGAAAAAAATACCTAAATGACTTATTCCATAAAAAGAAGAGACCTTTTAAATTTAAAATGATACCCTTTTATTAAACTAGAACTGAGTTCATATATTACTCCAGTGTATACATGTATTTTTATATTTCATTTAACCTTGTTACCATTTTTTTTCTTAAATAGTTCATAATATCTAAAACTTTCTAATTCAGATATTTTGGGTGATATAAAAATTAATTTCATATCAATAATTTTCTTAATATTCAATATTGTTTGGCTACCAGATGAGAAAGAAGGTAGACTGTCTTTAGACAGTTTTGTTGTTGACAATTAAAACAGCTGTAATTTTAATATCAAATGAACTTATAAGAAGTTCGATCTTAAATAAATAAATAATTTGTAGTACCTCCCCCTCTGGCTAATTACTCAGATTTCAAAGTATAAACAAAACCACTTTACCATCGTCTTGACCCCTAATCTATACCTTCAGTCTATTTGAAAGTTGTTGTTGTAACATATTATGGGCATTTTTTCAAAATGTTAGGGTGGGTTGGGACTTTTGATTTATTTTGATAAGGCCTCATATAATCAAGATCAAACTTCAGGTAAGTTCATTTGATCTTAAGATTATATTCGGCGTCATCTCATAAATAAATGATTTGTAGATGTTTAAAGTCGTTGCAACAACTTTATTATAATAATGTACAACTATAATAATAATAGTACTTAATAGAACCTGTTAGTACTTAACCGGTTCTTTTTACCTATTTAGAATTGTATTTCAATTTCTATTGTAAAATTTCACAAGTTTCTTAGAATTTTTCGTCCCCTTACTTATAGTGTCAAAACTGACTATTTTCCTAGCGATACACATTGGGTAAACAAAATATTTTTGAGTCACATCTAAAACTAATACAACAGCACTCAAAGTTAAAATCTTGATAGATGTTCGTGAGAAAACTTGGAATATTAAATTTAAAATTAACCTTTACAAATATAAGTACACCACCATGTATATGATCACTTCGATATAGCATACTCAATATTAGGTTCTCAACGAACCTAAGAGATAATTTGGAAGATAAAAGTAAATTATATTGTTGTCACTACGCCATGATCCATGTCACTACTTATTAGACAAAGATTTTGTAATTCTATACTGTCTGCCAAAACTTACCCTGCAGCAGACATCGGTTTAGACCATAACCCCATAATAGTCACATTATGAACCAAATTAAAACTGGTTAAAAAACCCACACAAAGTAGAATTGATTGAAAGAGATTAAGGGAACAACAAACAAAGGAACAAAATGTAAAAACTCTTACTGAAAATCTACGTAATGCACAAGAACTGAATAAAAGTAGCTATAACATTGATCAGAAATGGGAAAATATAAAAGTAGCAATAATTAAAACAGCAAATGAAAACTTAAAATCAAAGAATAGAAAACATAAAGATTGGATGACTGAAGAAATACTACTATTAATGAATGAAAGAAAATCACTCAAAACAAAAAATCCAATTAAATATAATGAAACTGATCGATTAATAAAAAAGAGAATAAAAGAAGCTAAGGAGAGAACATTACATGAGCAGTGCCAAGAACTAGAAGAAATTGAGAAAAAATATAACTTTTTTAACATGCATAAAAGAATTAGAGAATTAACAGGAATGAAAAAAACACTTCAAACTAGGCAACTAAGAGATGAAAGGGGTGCACTTATAACAGATATAAACCAAAAAATGCAGAGATGGACACAATATATAGCACAACTTTTTGAAGACAAAGAGAGAACAGAAGCACCAAAAGAATTTAAGGATGATACTGGGCCTGACATTATACGAGAAGAAATTGAATATGCAATGAAACAAGCTAAAGGTGGTAAATCTCCTGGGCCTGATGAAGTTCCTATCGAATTATTTAAAATTGTGAATACTGAATCTATTGATCTTCTTTTGGATCTATTCAATACCATATATAGAACAGGTATAATACCTAAAGAATGGCTCCAATCAACATTTATACTGCTTCCCAAAAAAGCCAATGCAAAGGAGTGCAATGAACATCGCACCATAGCCTTAATGAGTCATGTCTTGAAATTGTTTTTAAAAGTAATTCACAATAGAATACATAAGAAATATATAGCACAACATGAAGGCATAAGTAATACACAAATGGGATTTAGGAAAGGACTGGGAACACGAGATGCACTGTTTGCATTAAGTGTTCTTTCGCAGAGATGCTTAGATATTAATCAGGAAGTATATGCCTGTTTCATTGATTTTGAGAAGGCATTTGACAGAGTGCAGCATAATCGACTTAAAGAAATTTTATTAAATAAAAACATAGACAGTAGAGACATTAGAATCATCTGTAACCTCTATTGGAATCAAACAGCAAAAGTGAAAGTTGAAAACGAACTGACCAAGGATATCCAGATTCGCCGTGGTGTCCGCCAAGAGTGTATTTTATCACCCTTGTTATTCAATTTATACAGTGAAGCCATCTCAGAATTAGCGCTTGCCGAGATCAGTGAGGGCCTTATAATAAACGGTGAGCCACTTAATAACATAAGATATGCTGACGACACCGTCCTTCTGGCAGGAATACTAGAAGAACTGCAACACCTTGCTGAACAACTAAATATATATTGCAACGATTATGGACTAAAAATCAATTTGAAGAAAACCAAGTTCATGGTATTTACAAAAGCACAAAACATCAAAGTTAAGCTAGTACTAGATAATACAGAAATTGAACAAATATCTTCGTACAAATACCTTGGAGCATGGATCACAGAAGATACTGATCAGACAAAAGAAATAAGATGCCGCATTGAAATTGCGCGGTCGACTTTTAATAGAATGAGAAAACTTTTTTGTAATCGCGATATCAATATATCGCTCCGGATAAGATTGCTTCGATGTTATATTTTCTCTACCCTTTTGTATCGAGTTGAAGCTTGGACACTTAAAAAATCCAACATTAAAAACCTAGAAGCATTCGAAATGTGGTGTTACCGACGTATTTTGAAAATATCATGGATGGATCGCAAAACAAACGAACAAGTTCTCGAACAACTGGGAAAACAATGCGAAGTTTTAAATTCCATAAAAATCAGGAAATTGGAATACTTGGGGCACATCATGAGAGGTGAAAAGTACGAACTACTAAGGAATATAATGCAGGGTAAAATCAAAGGTAGAAGAAGCGTAGGAAGACGTAAAATCTCGTGGCTACGCAATCTCCGTGAATGGTTTGGATGCAGTTCAATTGAACTATTCAGGCGAGTAACCAATAAAATTATAATTGCCAGAATGATTACCAATCTCCGATAGGAGTGGAGCTTGAAGAAGAAGAAGAACTACGCCATGACTCGGTTATACACAGCAAATCAGGATGGATTTGCTTTGTATAACCACCAATTATAAAGGAGGGAGCACTGTTACGACAGGGCCGTGAGATCTATTCCATATAAAAACTCTCTTGACGAAAAAGAATAAGTATAAAAAAATCTAGAATATTCGAGATCTCATCGAATAATACCAAAATGTCTAGTAATGTCTGGACCATCACAAAATGTATTATAAACAGATAGAGTTAATAGTTTAATAACAGTAGTAATTAATTTTTTGAAGTTTATGGTTGTCATTGTGTTAAAGTGTTGTAAACAAGTTGGTGTTTGAATAAAGTTATTTTAAAGAAGTGTAACAATATTTATATTTTAGTGGGTATACAATATTCTTGAGCACAAATCAGAAGTAGAAAGATTGGTGTTTGAAGATAAAGATACTATAAATGGATTTGTTATGGTGCCTGATTTAAAATGGAATGGAAAAGCGGATACACTATATCTACTAGCAATTGTTAATAGACGTGATATTAAATCAATAAGGGACTTGACAGGGGAACACTTGCCATTGTTGAAGAATATACAACAAAAAGGAACGGTAAGCGAATTATGTTTACAATTTACACGTTAAAACTTTATTTTATCTTTTCTATTATTTGAAGTACTATAGTAGTCTATTGTTTCATATCCCTATGTGTTTTATCTTAGGCTGGCTATCTGAGATTTCAGAGTGTATTTCATTCCTTAATTATACTATAACTAATACATTGGCTTTCTTCCTATTCCATTCTTGCCCTTAATATTTTTATCTATTATAAGTAGGGATAATATTATAATATCTATTATATGGCCAAGGATGCTCTATCCAAATTTTATTCCTTTTAAGAACTTTCTCTAATCCCATTTGTCATAAGATCCATCTGTTGGTTGTTCTAACAGCAATCAATCAATGTTTTAACGACCTACAGTTTATTGAGCATCGTTGCTTGTCTGTACATTAATATGGTAACATAAAACCTCACATCTGATTGTGAGATTTACATTGTTATCAATTTGCTTCTATTTAAACCAGATTGCCCTAGTCAATCTGGTTTAAATAGACGGTTTATATTTAACGATTTTAAATTTTTTTTATTTATTTATTTATTGCTAATTTACAATCTACTTCAATACAGTAATAAGTAAATATGATGTATGTTCTTGGCTTGTGGCAGGTGTCGTCCATTGACGACTCTCTGGAAGTTTACCCAAAGTCTTTTTAGACATCTGTCAACCAGTGAGGGGCTGAATAATTCGTCTATGAGATGGTTTGGATGGTCTGCGCTGCGATTCATGTATCTTCTGGAATGGTCAGCAATCACATCATTGATGAAGGGGATGTTGAGGTCTGCATGTAGGGTTTGGTTTGACACATACCATGGGGCTTTAGCTAACATACGAATAGGTTTTGACTGGAATGACTGCAGTATTTTGCTGTTGGATGGTTTGCTACAGCCCCACAGCTCAATTCCGTATGTCCACACTGGTTTGAGTATTGTTTTATAGATGGGTAGTTTGTTTTCTAATGAAAGTTGCGATCTTCTGTTGATTAGCCAGCTCATATTTTTAACTTTTAGGTCGAGGTGTCGTCGTTTGGTTGCAATATGTGATTTCCAAGTAAGTTTTTCGTCTAGATGAAGGCCCAGGTACCTTACTTCTGTTTTTATTGGTAAAGCTGAATTATTTAGGTGTAGTTGTGGACATCTAATTCTTCGATTTGTGAAATTTACTTGACATGACTTGTTTGTGTTTATTTTCCAGCATTTAAGCCAGTCTTCTAGTTCATTGAGATGATTTTGCAATTTGTTAAATGCTAATATTTCATTAATATCTGATGCTAGTATACCAGTGTAATCCGCAAATGTTGCCATTAATGTATTTTCGCTAATAGAAATATCAGCAGTGAAGATTTGGTAAAGGAATGGGCCAAGTACACTGCCTTGAGGTACTCCAGATTTTATTTGGTGTATTTAAGTTGGATAGAGCACCTTCGTATTTAACCTGGTATCTGTCGGTCAAGTATGATTTAAGGAGGAGGTAGATTTGGTCAGTTAGGTGAGTTTTTATTTTAAACAGAAGACCCTCGTGCCACACTCTATCAAATGCCTGCTGTATATAGAGAATGCTGATAGACAGATTTGTTTCCCTTCTAGGCTCTCTTTTATTTTGTTGACTAATCTATGGCACTGTTGTATGGTTGAGTGATTTGAGCGAAAACCAAACTGATGATCTGGGATAAGGTTTTCTATAGGTATTATTGTTTCTGTTCTGTTAAGGATTAACCTTTCGAAGACTTTTAATAAAGTTGGAAGGAGACTTATTGCTCTGTACGAACTGGCTTCAGTTAAGAGGTTTACCAGGATTAGGTATTGTTATAATTTGTGCATACTTCCATTGCACTGGAAAATAGCATAGTCTCAGGAGGCTATTAAAAATAATGGTTATTAAGACGACACCTTTTCTTGGAAGTTTTTTTAAGATTTCGCCAGTTATAAGGTCAAATCCTGGAGCTTTATGAGGGTTAAGCAAGTTAATTTGGTTACGGACTTCGTTTGGTGAGAAGTATTTTAGTGGTAATGATAGTTGACAGGGTGCATTAAGGAAATCTCTAATTTTCTCGTCATTAATATGGTTGGCCTGTGGGGTGGAGAAGACATTTGATAGATGTTCTGCAAATCTGTTGGATTTTTCTATATCTGATCGAGCCCAAAATGGTTTTGGTGTGATAGGTTTCTGCCGCAGTTGCAGTTGAAAGGTTTGCTATCATAGCACTATAGGCAGTAACTCCATAAATATAGATTGGTGGCGGTGACGGATCTTTTTTGATTATATTTGTGTTTTGTGTATTTGATAAATTGTCTGTTTGTTCATCTAGATTTTCTTTTGAGAGGGAATCAAATCTGTTTTGTGTTTGGATTTGGTTGGGAATTTCTGAAGTTGTTTGTCTTTTCACCCTTTTTCTCTTATTGTCAACTTCTTGCCAGGAATGTTTATTTTCGTTTTCTGTTTCGTTAAGTTCTATGTCGCTATCGCTATCCGTGTAATTATTGGTGTTTTGTGATGATGAGAGTGAGCATTGATGGTTTGTGGATACTGTTGTATATTTTGACTGAATATTTTTGTATTTGGAAAATTAATTTCAGGCTGGGTTTATTTTGTTTGGTCGTCCAAGTTTTTATGTAAGAAAGTTCTTCTCAAGTCTTTTATTGCAGTGTAAACTCGAAATTCTATAGGATTCTCAAGTTATTGTTTTAAAAGCATGACTGAGGCAGGGTTAAAGAGGCTAAAATATTATCTCCTCCTCTAGTAGTAATACTGGGCTCGTTAAGAACTTCAACACGGCTGTCTACATTTGTCGTTTTATCTTGTTGTTATTGTTCATATTTTATGCATGACTGCCAGTTAGAAGCTGTTACATTTCATATGGCTTGTCCTGTAACACTTTGATATCCTTTAATTTTAATGTGGTGTTTTTACGCACTACCTCATTTTTGACTTGTGCGCACTCAGCTCGATCGAATTTAATTCGCAATTGTATTGCGGAGTTCTTAGTAAGGTGAAACCAATGACGTATAATATATAGACTACGCAGTCCCCTTCCTATTCTCGATACAGAATCGAGTGTCCGAAAGATCTCGGCTCAAGGTTGAAGGTATGTTTATCAGAACAGCGGCGTGCTCATTTATATGTTAATGACAATAATTATTTTTTTAATTAAAATTAAATATTTATGATTTCTTTTTGTTCCCGTCTATAAGAGAACTAATTATATTGATAAAATAGTATGGCATTTTACTAAAATAGTAAGTAAATAACTCTCAACAATTTAAAATAAAATTTGCTTGTCACACAAAATGTAGAAAATGTTTTCATACGTCCATGATGTTTTCAAACACGAGATCAACTTCGTGATACTTCGTAAGAAATCATGAACTTCGTGCATCTTCGTATCAAAACAATAAACAATGACAAAGGTATTCATGTTTTGGACACTTTTTAAAGCGTTCACCGAGTCTATATATTATACGTCATTGGGTGAAACCATGTTTACGTGTCATTGCATCTATGCAAATTTGATGTAAGAACTCATAATTTTCGCACTATATCAAGTAATTCTATCCTAGGATTGAGTTATCAACATCTATATTTTTGTTCTTTAATAATTAGTCTGCGCCTTTGTAATGTCTTTCAAGATTTAGAATCAATACCCTTAAAAATATTTTGTTTAAAATATCATTTGTATTTACATTCATTTCTTGTTAAATGACTTTTAACGAGGACATTTCAATATTAACTGATTATATTTTTCTAATATTGTCCAATACAATTTTTGTATGTCTTTTGTGAATAAGGTTTTTCAAGTTTTTTTTGAAGTTCGTCAAATCTTCACACAATGCTGCGACATCCTCTATCATATCTTTATTTCTTGTACGAAATCTTTTACATACCGACTTGATCATTTGTTTTTATCTCGCGGATAACTACCACCTTTTATTTTTTATTACAGATATTACAGGAAAAAATATTAATTGGGAGGAGAATTTGTGTGATGATAAATGAATTAGTATTTAACCACTCTGCACCAAGTGTTTAGAACTTATACAATGAATCCTTGACAATCCTATTGAATTTCGAGTTTAGATTACATTTTATATCTTACATTACTGCATGTTTTTGGGATCTGATTAAGTATCTATTTAACATTATCTTCATGGATAATGTGTTGCAATTTGTACTGGTCAATCATCTGGTTGTATTTATTTGTTAGTATTCTTTGTTTCAAGTTAAGAAAATAACATTACGCTTATGGAGATCAGTGTTGCCAAAACTCTCAGACACTCTCTTTTGCACGGATGTCCAAGATATTCCCTTTGCTTAATTTTTGAATTTTCATTTTCAATTAACATTTAACTGTAGTCAGAATAACTACTAAATAAAAGCCTTATTATCATTATGTAGTCAGAGAACGACATAAAATAGCTTACATACGCACATCGTATTATTTTAAGTTGCAATTAGTAATTAGATATACGCATTCCAAGCGGTCAATATTTTCTACTGATTTCTATGATTCATGGCATATCGTATTCTCACCGAAAAACAAATAAACTGTCGTTACTATAATTAAAATAAGATAAAATAAAATTATCTTTTGTAAATACTATTTATCTAATTAAAATCATTTTTCCTACTTTTCATCTCTTGTTTCGAATGGGCACTTTTGGTCAATTACGTTAAAAAACATTAATTTAATTCATGTTTGTGGAAACAAAAATACAAATTATACAACCCTAAATTGTGCTTGTGTGTGTCGTGGCAACGCCGCGTTGCTATCGTCCATAAGAAATACATGGCCCTATCTCCGCAATGTTATCTTCTAAACGTGGAACGTAGTATAGAAAAGTATTTATTATTTCAAAAACATTTTACATTGGCAGTACTATTTTTTATGTTAAATTGAATTTAATATATTTTGGTTTTAGGAAGCTATCAAATCAAAATATTCATTGGACAGCTCTAGACTCAGAATTTATCTTCACTACCAACCTTCATTCTATCACTTACATATCCATTTCGGTTATTTACAACATGAAGCTCCTGGTATCCTAACAGAAAAAGCTCACCTTCTTTCTCAGGTCATCAGTAACATTGAGCTATTGCCAGATTATTATCAAAAAGCAACCATACCTTTTGTAGTACGAGAGCAAGATAAATTTTTCAAAAAATTAGAAGAAAAAGGGGTTCTTTCAAAGTCTTAGCATGACAAGCCTCTATAAATCTGTTTTGTTCGAAATTAGACCAAGACTACAATGCGTTAATGCATTCATCACATTGTCTACTGGTCATCAAACTATTGAAGTAACTTTGAATGATGAAATTGTAATATTGACAATAGGAACAGAAGTAGCTAAAATTCCTTGTCGAGGTATCAAAATAATATCAAATAGTGTCACTTGTTTAAAAGTAACTGATAAATTTCTTACATTTAGATTTCTCACAGAATCGGCTGAGGAAATAGGTAGCTTTAAAACAGAACTTTTGCATAACACTGTAGCTAATGAGGAATCGTTAAACAACAAACCATTACTATCAAATGGTGTTAAATATGTTTTACAGTGTATTAACTGTAATAGGTCTCTGTCAGATCCAATCGAATATACGAGGATATTGCCTTTACCATCCGAAAGTTCGGATGCGAGTGACTGGTTTTGCCATAATCACGGTGAGAAAACGAATATCAGCTTAGATCCCAAACCTAGTGATATTTTTTATTCTCAATGTTTTGTTCACATGAACGCAAAATGTATCAGCAATATCAAGAGTTGCAAACAAGTTTTGGTATGCAGATTTTGCCTGCAATGGTTAGGAACAAAGCACAACCATAACACAATAAAAATATGGTTTAATACTATAAAATTTACACATTATTCCGGATCAATTTCATCTTATAGCTTAGAAGACGCTTTCCAGACCATAAAAAACAGTTTAAGGTATTCTATTCACAATGCAACAAAAATTTTATTATCTTGTCACACTTCTTCCACACAAACAGATACAATAATGCTGTGGGTGTTAGAAAAGAAACTTCAAATACTCTTTGGAGAGACTAATGTAAAGGAATATAATGTAGCAAAAGTTTTGTTTAAGTTTGTCAGTAAAGACGAACATCTCCTTCAACAATGGGAAAACGATTCATTGGTTACTAGCGTAGACATATCTAAACCTATGATGGTAGAGTTGTTGACCAATTTTCATAAGTGTAATAAATTATTTCCATTAGAATATTCCAAATCAGATGGTTTTAATGTTTCGTATGCGTTCTTGTATGACATTTTTTGAATAAATATTTTGTAATATGCTGTGGTTTTATTATAAAGATCATATGAAATGTTACAATAGCATAAAGGAATTATGATGGCTGATGACTAATTATAAACTGTTACAAGACAATCTTTCTTCTTCTTAAAGTGCCTATCCATTCCGGATGTTGGCAATAATCACGGCTATCTTTACTTTGTTTACTGCAGCGCGGAAGAGTTCAGTGGTAGTCGTGTTATACCACTTTCGTAAATTTTGAAGCCAAGAAATGCGTCTTCTTCCCGGTCCTCTCTTACCATTTATCTTACCTTGGAGAATCAGCTGGAGAAGGCCGTAACGTTCAAAAAGCATTTGGAAAACACTTCAGCAAAAATTAAGACCCGCAATAATATTATCCATAAGTTAGCAAATACATCATGGGGGTCGAATGCAGAGGTAATAAGAACGAGCGCGCTGTCCTTAGTATATCCTACTGCAGAATATTGCGCTCCTGTCTGGCTAAACAGTCATCACACAAAAGTCATAGATACCCAGTTAAATCAAACAATGAGGCACATAACGGGAACTGTAAAGCCCCCACCAATCCAGTACCTTCCAGTTTTAAGCAACATCGCTCCACCAGCAACAAGACGACTAGCCGCACTAAACACAACACTCTAGTTCAAAAGTGCCAACAAAACCCAGAACTACCGATAAACACAGACATCGCTGAACTACACCAAAGGCAGTTAAGACGGCAATCCAGACATCCACCTACTAGAACTGCTACAAAATTGGCTGTTTTCACTACCGAAGAGCACTGGATGGGCGAATGGAATCCAGACGTCAGAAATTCCAATCTGATAGAAAACCCCACAATCAAACCAGACGGCTTTTCTCTTCCCCGTCGTGAATGGTGCAATCTAAATAGAATACGAGTTGGTCATGGAATTTGTAACAAATCGCTGAATCAATGGGGTATAAATGCCAGCACGGAATGTGACAAATGCAGCGCCGCTGAACAAACAATTAACCACATCGTCTTCGAGTGTCCAGCCACCAAGTTCTTTGGCAGCCTTCAAGAAATCCACCAACTTACTCCCAAGGCGACAAATTGGCTTCGAGGATGTAACCTTCGACTTTAATTTTAAAAATTTTAATTTTATATGTTCTGTGTCAGTGTTTACTTATTTACTTACTTATTTATTATTGTTATTGTCACTTTTTTCTTCCTTTTCTTTATATAAAAACTGCAATGTGTAAAGTTCATACGAATATATATATATATATATATATATATTATATATATATATATATATATTGCACATTGAAATCAAAGTGGCACTATTTTACAGTATAGCTGTTTAAAGTTTTTAATATATATATATATATATATATATATATATATATATATATATATATATAATATATATATATATATATATATATATATATATATATATATATATTGCACATTGAAATCAAAAGTGGCACTATATAAAAAACTCAATTTTACAGTATAGCTGTTTAAAGTTTTTTAACATGATTTTTATGCCCAGACTTGAAAATAAATTGAAAACAAGCAATATGATTAGATTTAAATAATAATTTAATTATCTCTTTTTCAGTATAAAATAACTTTTAAAAAAATTAACTAGTGTTTGTTGAAAAAAAAGGTATTTGAAAAAAAAAATTCAGTATAGTGTCACTTTTGTTTTTATACAATCAATTATTTATTGTTTAATGGCATATTTAATTCATTAACTCTTCTACTATTCTACTACTCCAATTGAGTAAATGAATGTCAGGAATAAAATAAAAACTAATTTTAGATAAATAAAGTATTTATTTGTATGTACTACAAAAGAAAGTCTTACTCGAATCAGTCACGACAATATCACGCAATGTTTTAATTAAAATAAAATATTTTAAGACTATCAGAATAAGCTAAGAAAATAAACGAATCGTAACAAAAAATGCATATTATAGGCATTTGTAAAAATGTGATAATACTTAGCTATTACATTTTTAACTAAAAATACTTTCATAGTAGGATCGGTAATATCCAGGAATCAACCCCGCATCCACAAGACTCCTCACGTAATTTTTCTTCCTTTCGGATATATCAAATTTTTGGTGGTACAATGGTTTAAGTTCTTGAGGTCGGCTGTTTCTGGATGTTTTTTTTTGTCAAATCAAGTTTCTTGAAGTCATCAAAATAAGACGTTTTATGGAATATTTTAATCTCATTCATTACGTTCTTTTCAATTTTAATGACTTTTATATCAGACTACTTTACAACCGCACCATTAACACTCCTATTCAGCTTAATAACTGGCAGTTGTTTCAAATCCATAATATCCCATCTCATTTACAATGTACGGCGTCCCACGTTTTTCGAACTTCTGATGGCACAGACGTATTGGGAAGGTACGTAAATGGGTCCAGATTTAAGACTTTTTTTACTTCCTTCTTAATCGTTGAATGTACTGCGTCCCCTTCATTTTGTGTGTGGCCTCGGATTAAGAACTTAGGGGTTATTGAGTTTACTTTGAGATTTAATACTGCATAGACATACATTCCAATGATAAACTGGTTCTTCTGTTGGCCACAGCAGTTATCAGAATAGAACACTATATCAAGATCTTTATTAGCGAAAGAAGACTTCTTTTGCAAAAACTTCAAAACACAGCTACCTATTTCATTGGCTCCACGATTGCCTTGAGATTCATCCCAAAAGTAACATTCAACATTGTCTGTTTTCAACTCCGATATGGTAAAATTCAAACAATTTATTTTGGACTTATAATAGAATGTTGATACGTCTCCTTTAGGAACCATCATTACCGCTTGTAAGTCATAGCATGCAAAGATAAAACAATCTGTCACTTTCTCTTTGTCACTAGCTTTTTCTTTGCGACTTTTTTGTTTTTCTGCTAAATGGCGGTCATAATCTTTCTTTAAAACTTCCTTTCTGGGATCTTCAGCCAGCTTATATATTGTGCATTGTTCACATTGGTCCTTTTTAGGTACGAACAAACTAATATTAAATTCTTCGTTGAAAATTTTTCGATACGAATGTACCATAACATAGGGTAGTCCTTGCTCTATGCAATTGTCTTTGCAGTCTGAGTAGATCCATTACTCTTTTTCCACCATCGATGAATTGCTTTGAGGTTTGCTGACGCAAGTAATGGCTCTCGATTCGAGGGATGCTGTTTATGTGTATTTTTACTCCTTCTACCAAATCGATAAACAACTTTCTGTGATTTTCATGTCTTCCTCTCTTGTCACCTTCTAGAATACCAGTAAAAGAATCTTTTTTTTTCAGTACAGTTCTGATACACCTGTCAGTTATATCTAGTGTAGTTTTGTAGAATGTCTTGCATACTCTGGTTTTGGTACTATTTATTTCAAAATAAAAAGAATTTTTTGCCTTCCTATTTGAATTCATTTTCTTGTATTGATATTTCGGGATAATATTTTGAATACTACGAGCTATGTATTCTCTTTGTCTGTCTAAGGAGGTCATAGCCCAGTAAGCATCAAACAGTTTTTGCCTTGACACTCCAGATATTTTATCTGAGCATTTTAGCCGACAGTTATTTCCACAAGTTTGTTTTAGAATTTTTGCCGGAAAAATCTTTTTTGTTTTGGTCATCTAACTGAGAATTTGAAGCTGTAGGAGCTACATTATCAACTCGATAATTATTGTCAAAATCCCGTTCCAAAAAATCGTCATTCAGCAGCGTACCAGAGATATCTTTTGCAAAATTTTCTTCGACATCATTGCCGACATAATTATGAGCAGTTTGGTCATTTGTAAGATTTTCGTCATTTTAAGTAACTTCAGGTAACTGGTAATTTAGGTCGTTATTTATCCTGCAATTAGATACTTTGGCTTCATCAGTTTTTGAAAAATTAACATTGCTTGCAGAAGTTTCGGTATCATGAGTACCTTGATTAGCTTTAGAGGTTGTAGGCAAATCAGACGACGTACTTGATGAAAAAGTCGAGGAACTAGAGGAACAAGAAGAGCTGGATGAAGATGAGGATGAACTGGAGGATGATGAAGTCGAAGTAGATCGGCGGCGTTTCTTTTTTGGGGATAAGTGGTAAGTTATAAGATAATACGGAATAAACGTGATAAAAACAAAATGTCGGTGTTTAATATCCTAATTCTCTAATTAAATATACATTTTTAAATAAAACAATGACACTTTACTTAAAATGACGTCTATTTAATATGGCAAGAAATTAAAAATATGACATTTAAACCACAAAATGACACTAAGCACAATATGCTCCTTATTTATTGTATATAAACAGTTATCTGGAATAGTTGAGTAAAATATCGACACTTTACAAAATATGCCAATAACGAAATCATAGTTTGTTGTATTTTTACTATCAAGTAATTAAAAAAACGACATTATACAAAATATGTCACTTTTTCACTCACCTCAGCTAAGACTCGTTGCGGCGACTGGACCTTTACTGGTTTAGTGTCGGTTTATCAAAATAATGGTTTAGTGTCGGTGTATAACAAAGTAAGAAGTGACATTAGCGACGTCTACAGAAAACCGAGCGAGCTATTATAAACGGAGATCTTTGCAACACGTAGTTTTGCTCGTAGATTTTAGATGCCGCTGTAACTAAAAACCACCGAATTTTGTATAATGCCACTTTTGATTTTCAATGTGCGATATATATATATATATATTATATATATATATTATATATATTATATATATATATATATATATATAATATATATTATATATATATATATATATATATATATAGGTATATATATATATATATATATATATATATATATATATATATATATATATACATATATATATATATATATATATATATATATATATATATATACATATATATATATATATATATATATATATATATATATATATATATATATATATATATATATATATATATATACTAGGTTTGTGATGAATTTTGTTTTGGAGATGTTTATTTTAAGACCCACACTGGCACACACTAACTGAAGT